TCCCTCATGCCCAATGAAAGAAAACTAAATAAATCTCCCATCTCATTGACTGCACCGTTAACAGGAAGTGGGTCCTGTCAAGATCTCCCTTTCCAACATTCAGAACGGGCAGAAAATGCACAGCAAACACGTTATTTTACCCTATATGTCATTTGCTCTGAAAAAGGAAAGAACATGTTGAAAATTAGCCTTTAAATATTGTTTTCAACACCTCTTCGAGGGTCAGGTAGCATCCTCGGGAGGTTTTCGCTGTGTTCACACTGCAGCCTGAATGGACCCTTATCAGACTTTTTGGCCCTGTTTCCGACCTTTTCATGACAGATCAGATTGTTTCAAATGTGACCCAGACCACTTGGATATATTTCCCTAAATCTGATAAGTATCTGATCATCTCAAATGTGACCAGTCTGTACAGGGGTTAACAACCCCACAAAAAAAAAAATCAGATTTCACCCAAAAACTCAGATTGGGGTCACGTCAGGCTGCAGAGTGGAGGCAGCCTTTGCTGAGTCGAGTTAAAAAACACAAAATAAATCAGTTTCAGTACATAAACAGAAACAACAGGGACTATCAGAAGGGTTCCGCTTGTCCCTGAACGCATCTCCATCCCGGTGAGACGCAGAAGCACAAAACCGCTCCCTGACCCCGTGACCCCTCGCCTTGCTAACCAAACCCCCCCCCCACCAGGTCCAGGTGGGAGCAAACATTAGTGTCTGGGAAGGTGTTGAATTCTTAACTGTTTACTTCCTTATTGTCATCTTTCCTTGAAAGAGACAAATGAGATGATGGTGATCAAAGCTGGTATAATTGATAAAGTATTTTCACCGACAAGCTCAGTGGATAGTTGTTTCTCACAACAGAACACGTAACAAAAGCAGGAAATGTTTTTAAAATTGTTGGTTAAGTACTCAAAGCTCATAGAATAGCACATGTTCAATGATTAGAAGATGTGTCATAGTATGTCTGCCATTTCAAATCATAGCATATGTAGTCCTGAGATATGTAAAGCTGTCATCATTTTTATATTTTCCACCTTATGCCACACTATAAAAAACACTGACACAGGTAGGACAAGATGGCTCCATTTTGTAATCTTCCATTAGTCCATATACAATAAAACCACTGAAACTTCATAATTTCCATAAATATTCCGATGTGATTGAAGTAAAGAAGTATATAACTATTTGTCTATTCCACTGTCACAAAGGGGCCTGATCCGTCTTTAAGTAGTTTGGGGAGTATAAAATGTGTATTCCCAGTTAGAACTGGGATGTTTACCTTCTGTTGGGACTGCTTTTGTTTTGACTGGCAAAACTAAGTCATGGTGGAAGAAGATGGACCATGTTGACTCTGAACTAGTTTGTTAACCCGTTCCTGCACCATGGGACCCTCAGGAAGTTTTTCCTTGCCTGTGTCGCCTAGTGCTTGCTCATGGTGGGAATTGTTGGGTTTCTGTGGTTAACTTCAGAGTAGGGTCTGACCTGCTCTGTTTGGAAAGCTGTGAGACAACTGTTGTTGTGATGTGGCGCTATAGAAATAAAATTGAATTGAAAATTGACATTTCTTTCTTTTATTTTGCCAGTGAGTGGAAACATGATGTATGAACTGTACATAAACAGGGGGAAGTGTCCCTCATGATGATGCACTCACCACTATGCGCGTGGACAGCTTCTGCTCCCCCTCTGCGCTCTTCTGCTCCCCATTGGCGCGGCCGTACTCGGGGGGTTGCTGGTTCGATCCCCGGCCTCCCTTGGACTTCCGGGTCCCGGGCCCCTGGTGCACTATGTTGAGCAGGTGTCGCGTGCTCTCGTGCTCGCGCTCGGCGCGCTCGGCCTGCTCGCGCTGGTAGCGGCCCTCGCACACGGAGTGGTGCCGCCGGCACAGCTCGATGCGCGCGCGCAGCCGCTCCACGATGGCGCTGTGCAGCTGCGGGACCGCGGAGGCCCTGGGGGGGGGGGCCCCCCCCCACCGGTACCCCGCCGCCCCCCCCCACCACCCCGGGCAGGGCCCCCAGACCCACTCCCAACATGGGCGCAAAGGTCCCGGACTGCGCGGGGGTCGCCTCTCCCATCCCCGGAAAAGCTGACCTGATCACGGATTTTTTTTTAAAGATTGTTCATTTGTACACTTGGATCTATGTTTTTAAAGATTGTATTCTTCAGTTTTATCATTTCTGTCCTATATTTTTACTTCTTGCTTCTCATAGAAGTGTTGTGTCGTGCACCAAACACCAAGGCAAATTCCTTGTAAGTCTAAAAACCTACTTGGCAATAAACCTTATTCTGATTCTGATACGTGGGACAGAGCTACGATCCCATGTGGAAAAAAACCCAAATAAAAACACTGGGCTGCGCGCACTGAGTCACTTCTATGTGGCCCGTTTCTGGCCAAATGGCCCCTAACGAGAACCACCAAACCAAGCCCTGCCGGACACTACAGTGGGAATGTCCACACGGAAATAGGAAAAGTTCCAAAGTGACATCCCACGTATTCTCAGGGGCTGAGGTGGATCCGTATCCTGGTCCAGCTCAGGTCCAGAAGAGACCCGCTCCCCCCCCCTATAACGCACCAGAGATCTAAGAGGATTCAGCCGCCGCGCGCACAACTTGGGCTCCATCCACGGTTCTCCCGCATCCCCGATCCATGTCCAGCCTCAAATGTCCTTCACGTTTTAAGTAACCAAACACTGGCACCATCAAGTAGTCCGTACGTTCAGAGTCAGGCGATCCGTCTCCCAAAAAAAACAGAAAAAAAACACAAAAACCCCAAAAACATCAGACTGCGAACGCAAAATCTACCAAACTTCCAGACTCACGGCATTTTCCTTTGGAAACGAGTCCTTCCTCTCTATTTTTTTGTCCCATGTCCACCGAGAAAAAAAGCGATCCGATCGCAAATAAGTCCAAATAATTGTCCTTAAACAGAGAGATCTAGATCTGAGCGGAGCCGGGAGGTACGGGTCTGCTGCAGAACCTGATCCGGATCCGACTCAAACGCTCCATTGACGGTCCTCTGTCCGTGAGCAGCACAGAGCTCCACACAGAGCCCCATTGTGGGAAAAATTCCTGCTCTGACACGGTGCGCGCGCACGGTGCAGCAGGGCCGCGCACACCCTGCTGGAGGGAGCCGGGAACTGGCCTCCATTAGGGGTGGGGGGGGGTGGGGGTCTAATGACTGTTTCCCAAACATGGTTCATGTGTTGGCTGACTGGTCCTGATGGTTTTGTTAGTTGTTGTCTTATTGTTCTGTTTTATTTTGATTATTTTTAAGGATAAAATGTGGATTTTTTTGGGGCAGGAGATCTTCCAGATATCCAGATCCAGGCTGAGATGAGTCTTCTTGCTGTGGAAAGCTGCTAAAATAGGCTATGAGGAATTTTGTATGTATATATATATATATATATATATATATGTAGAAATGTATATGCCGCTGTTTTATTTATGGAGCCATTAACAAAATAATTTCCCTCTGGGATTATTAAAGTATTTCTGATTCTGATACACATTTCCCATATTTAAATTTGACATACGTAATACCTGTTAAGGCCCAGGGACACACAGTTAGTCTCATTAAAGTTGGAGTTCAGCACTTTACGGCTTGCAAGTGTCAGGAGGTGGATCTCAGGTGAGATTCAAAAGGGTTTTAATGAACAAAAACGCACTCAAACAGGATGGTTGACCTGACAAAGTTCAAACAAGGCAGACAAAACTATGAACAAAGTATCAAAGAAAGATTAACAAGACTATGAGCAAAGTGTCAAATAAAGTAAACAAGACTATGGCAAAAGTATAAAAAAAGTAAACAGGACTGTGAATAAAGTGAACAAGACTATGGCAAAAACAAGACTGTGACAAAGTACAAAAATAAAGAAACTCTTACGAGGCGTGAACTAGACGAGGAACGAAGGTGACAAAGACACAAAAGACAAAAACACACTGGCCCAGGACATGGGAAACAGGACTATTTAAACACATGAGGGAGGGGAACCCCAGGTGTAAACAATAGGTAATCAAGGTAATCAGACCTGACAGCTACATGTGGTATTGGTAATAGTTTAGGAGATAAGGGGGGGCCTGGGATTCTTAGAGGTGTTGCCCATCAAGGCTTCACTGTGTGCTTTAAATTCTTTATTCATAACTTGCTTATCAATTGTGATTGTCACAAGGTCTGAATTCCAAACCAGTGCAACAAATTCAAACAAGAGCTCAGAAGTTACTGCCTGAAAAACAGAGAAAGTCACCATGAAACTCTGGTGAGGCAGGTTTTGTAAAGCAAAGAGAAGCTGAAACAGACACATGAAAGCTTTAAAAACTGTGGAGAGATTTAGCAAAGCCTGTGGTACCCTCCCTAATCTGCCCCCCATCCTGAAAAGGGTGCCCAGAACACCATTTAATCACCATTTAGCTGACACCATATTTATGTTACAGTCTTAATTTAAACATACACCAGTCTTGGATGGATGTCCGCATGAGTCACAAGAAATTATCATTCAATAAATCCACTCGCTTTTATTTGGTAAAGTCCATGTTTATTCTTTTAAAGGGAAATCCCTGGAATGTGACTTTTTCTACTTTATTCAGAAACCAGGAATAAAAGTGTAGGAGTTGGAACAGATGCTAGTGTTTTCTGCCTGAAAAAAGACCTAATAACCATCTAGTTCCAGTTTAAACACACAGTTTAAACACACTCCTGAGATGCAGCTCCCATTCTGCACTGCAGGGGGCAGCAGAGAGAATTTGCTTTTGTAAATACTTGTTTATATCTTAAGACTGTCATAGATCAAGAGTTCTGAGTAGTTTAAAATCTATAATAATAGTTAGTTTAGTATAGAGTTGAGTTCCTTTTGATTAGGACCCAGTGATTCAAATAAAATGCTTGTTGACCTGTAAAAACTTTAATTTTTTTTGTGAAAACTGTGGGTGAGAGTAGATTAAAGAGCACAGAAAGATAAACTGTTGTTTGTTTTTTCCCAATCTAAAGAGGAATTTCAACACCAGACTTTCACTTCTTGATTTATTGTATGACCACAGTTAAAGTCTACCATAATACAGGAATGGCATCATCTTGTATCCCAAATGAACTGTACCACATTAAAATCACACTGGCATAGTTTCTCATATTGCTTCCAAATAAAAATACATTTTGCATACATCAATGTTAGTTAAGAGGACGTTTTTCCTGTTTGTTTACAATGATCAACTGCAGAACACAATAAATTAATAAATTAACACACAAGCAATCTGCGAATGCTTTACAGTAGTAGCAATAACAGTGGTTAAAAAAAAAAAAAAGATCTCTACAAGTACAGTACGTCAAACCAGTGACAGTCTGACAGCAGATCTGAGCAGTCTGAGCTGTCATTTAACAAACTACAGCTCACAATCTACCACGGCACAGACACAAGCACTCCTGCTCACGGTTGCTCTCTCTAGATAATAAATTACACATCCATTTTTCTTTTCAGAGAATGACAGGTAGACACGTGCTTCTTTAGACTCGTCTTCCCTCTCGTGGTTTGGGAGAATCACAGTGGAAGCTGCCAACTGCCTCATTTCATGAACAGATCTTAAACAAACCTGTTTGGGAAACCGACACTGAAACAGACACAGCTTCATTTATCCTGATCACGTGTTTTTTTTTATAATTCCTACTTACACGTATTGGTAAAAAAACGAACAAACGATGATTAAAATGAATACAAAAAGCAGTAAAAACTGTAGAAAAACATTAGGAAGCAAAGAATGACATCATCCATGGCCACGCTGTTCCTCTAAAGGTCTAATTGGGATTCACTCCTCAGTGGTTCCAGCCCACAGTGAAACACTGGACTTAACTCGAGCTGGGAAACGGTCATTCACTGGTCCTTCCTTGGCTAATCCGATTCCTCTAAGACTAAATACGAAGTCCAAACCGAAATCAAAGTAAGGCAAATTAACGATACAAATTAAGAATCCATTTTAAGTGAATATGATCACTGACAAATCTTCATTGTGGCACGTTGCCGTGTCGCATCACTGTAGTGCACGTTTTGCTTCAGACTGCATAATATATTTTTAAAAAAGTCAACAAGATGCACTTCAGTATATGTGTTTTTTTTAAATCAATTATTTACATACAATTACTCTGCAGCCGTAAAGCTGTAGTGTGTGGCGTATCTAACCTGAAGACACACTAATGTGCTGCTCTCCACTTTATCTTCACTTCCTCTCACTCACTTTTTTCCCTGTCAGTGCACATTTACGTCATAATGTCTCGAGATATTACCAAAAGTCAACTGGGCTCTGAAGTCAAAACTAGGAGGTCACTTCTTTCTTTTCTTTTTTTTTCTGTCCTGTGCCTTTAAATCCAGGCTTTACCAATTTGGTATCTGCACTGGAATAATTGGCCTGCCATCCAGCCTGACAGCTCTTAAATATGGTTTTGGCTCACACTTAATTGAAACCAAGGCAACGGTCATGTATAGTTACCATTAGGGCATCTGAGAAAGGCTTTTGCATATTTGTATGGCTATATTTTTCCTCCTCCTCTCCCCAGACATGCACGGCTAAGCTGAAATGATTGCCGGCAGTGAAAATAATCTCCTCACTGCTTCTTCAATACTCAGCACAAATGACAGATTGACGTGGAAAGGGAAAGTCGGCCTGCGTGCCAAAAACCGGAGTGCATGATGGCGTTTGTAAGGCTAATCTCGCTGGATATTAATACGCTTATCGATCAGTTAGTCGATGGCGTTCCTTTAAACGGCACCGGGCGAGTCAATGGCCAAGATGAGAGATGCTAGGACACTTTTCATCAAAAGGTCTATTTATAAAGAGTGGAATGAAAGTGGAGATGATATATTTTCTGAGAGTCTTTTAACAGTCGGTTAGAAGCTTTGGCAGCGCACGTTACCTGGAAGGCCTGATATCCTGCATGCTAGCAGGGCACTGCAGTACCAATCCCCAAAGAGTGAACAGGCAGAGGATAAGTTATGGCTTTTGTCTCAAATGTCTCGTCTTAAAACAAGCCTAAACAGTATTTGTGGTAATGATAGAAACGTGATACTGGATGCTTGGCTTAAGGTCTGTGTTAAGCGTTTTTTTGGTCGTTTTAGCGAAAGTTATTGTCAAGACTTGACTCCCTTGGAAGGTTCAGAAGACTGCCGCACATCAGTCCACTCCTGCATGGTGCTCTGCAGAGCCTGGGTCTTTTCCTTGTCCACTTGGACGTAGTCCACCTTCTCATCAGATGTCACGGAGGATGTGGAAGGCTGTGGGATAGCAAAGAAGGCAGATTTTACATTCTGACCAGACCATAAATACGTAAAAAGGCAAGGCAGCTTTATTTGGATAGCACATTTCAGCAACTGGGCAATTCAAAGTGCTTTACATAAAATTAGCTAAAAAAATCAAATAAAACAGAAGAAACAGTTAAAAATAAAAACAAATAAAACACAAGAATAAAAATGACAGTGCAGTATAAGAGATTAAACAGTAAAGAATAGAACGTCATTTAGAGAAAGGCAATATCAAAAAGAAATTTTTTCAGCATTGATTTAAGGTCAGAAATGTATTTTGGCCCTGATTCGAGAGGTACTTTACAACCTCAAAACAGAGAAATTGAGGTTCTCTCTTAGAGGCTCCATCAAGTTATTTCAGGGTACATGGGACCCTTTTCGTAGATATTTTGACTCTTTGAATCTTCTTGAACCTGAGGATACTTGAATGTCTAACATGATCTCCACTTATCTATCTACATTCACATTCATGTCCACCCTTTTTTAAATCTGTTTTTATCTTTATACTTTTTATCTATTTATACTTTTTTTTATTTTATCAATTTGTTCATTTATTTATTTTTTGGCATGTGGGTGGTCAGGGTGGATTGGGGGTTGACAGAACTGTGACATTGAGATTGTATTGACACTTTGAATTTGTCCCAACAATGTCTGTCTTATGTTCAAAATGTTCAATAAACAAAGTTTAAAAAAAAGAAACAAAGAAATGTATTTTGGCCCTAAACCGTTTAGTGATTTATAAACTAGCAAAAGTACTTTGAAATCAATTCTTTGAGACACAGGAAGCCAGTGTAAGGACTTCAGAACTGGAGTGATGTGATCCAGTGTCTTTGCTTACTGAAGATTAAAGCTTTTCCAAGTCCTGTTGACACATAAGAAAAAAGCAGAAGGATATATAATAGTGTGATTTACCTTTCGGTGTGGGCTCGGTGAGCCGGGCTGAAAGTCCAGAGCTAAGTAGTCCACGTTTCCACATTTCCTGGGGGCGGGGCTGCTGGTGCCGCTCACGGCCGGGGAGGTAGATGCTGGGTTCTGCTAATGGGGCAGGAAGAGGAAGGTTTCACTCACACAGACCGCACAGAGGAGTCTATCAGAGAGAGACAGCTCCGTGCCGTCCTGATCTCTCCCCTCCAGACACGGGGCCTTACCATAGCCACATAGTTCTCCTCACTGTCTGCAGAGTCAGTGCTGGTGATGCTTTGTGTGGAGATGGGCCGACAGTGCTGAGAGGACATGGAGTTCATAGCGGGCCTGGAGGGAAAACAGAAAAAGGACTGAAAAGCTGCTATAGCATTTTCCATCAAACTGCTAGGATTTCGCTAAAAATACTCACTTTAGCATACTATGCTATCACATGATCTATGTAGATTACTGATTGTTTTATTTTCTTTTATAACTACATTTTGTGTTGAAGTCTCTGGCTGTGTCCACAGACTCTTTTCTCTCTTTTTCTTTCACTCTTTTTCTTTTTCCGTGGCATTAGATCCACCTTTAGGTCAACACACACACACATACACTTTGCTACCACATTTCTGTCATCTCCATGAATTAGGACCTGGCCTGTTCATGCCCAGAGCTAACTGGCCAATAGGACAGGTTATATCCAGTCCTCCTTTCCGTGGAAGTTGTTAGAATTTGGCTATAATTACTCACTTTAGCATAGTATGCAATCACATGATCTATGTAAATTACTGATTGTTTTATTTTCTTTTATAACTATATTTTGTGTTGAAGTCTCTGGCTGTGTCCACAGACTCTCTTTTCTCTCTTTTCTTTCTCTCCTTTCCTCCTCTTTTGCATTAGATACACGTCTTTAAGTCAACACAAACACACACCATTTGGTACCAATGTCATCAACATGAGTTTGGACCCAGCTTGTTAGTCTCAGAGCTAACTGGCCAATAGGACCTGGTTATGTCCAGTCCTCCTTTGAGGTGGGGTTGTTACGATACTAAAATTTTCAACTGGATACCGATACTCAGGAAAATATTCGATACTCGACACCATTTTCGATGAGTAATCTTTTACTTATAATCATTACTCAGTAATCATTACTCATTTAATCTAAAAAAGTAATCTTTTGTAGATTAGATCCACATCTTTAGGTCAACACACACACATACGCCATTTGTTACCACATTCTAATGTCATCTGCATGAATTAGGACCTGGCCTGTTCCTGCCCAGAGGTAACTGGCCAATAGGACTTGGTTGTGTCCAGTCCTCCTTTGAGGAGGCGGATGGAGCCCAGGAGATAATGCCCATCACCCAGATCTCAGGGCTCTTTGCCCACTGAGACCCAGAGAGAGGTTTTTGTCAATTGTCAATGTCAATTTTTACTCTTGATCTACTCTGGTTTATTCTCAGGTTTCCAACTTAAGAATCGGGTTAACAAAACTCTGCGTAAAAGTCGGAGCTACCGATCCTGAACGGCAAAAGACAAAAGACTCACATGGGCCGTGTCCAGGACATGGTGACGGGGCTCTTAAACGGCAACTCATCAATGATCCCGTTGTTCTTCAAATCCAGAGGTGTCGGCTTGGCTGTGAAACACACAAACACAAGTCAACAAACAGAACGAGACAAACGGTCGAACGGGGGCTTAACCCTTTAAAGCCTGATCCAAGAAGAAAACAAAACAGAAAATTCCTTTTTTTTGGTTTGAATTCCTTATTTGGCCTTTTAACAAAATATGTAAAAAGAAAAAACAGAAATACATTTTTGATATTAACTCATTGACTGCCAGCCATTTTCAGAACAGAGTCCCATACTGCCAGAGTTTTTTGAGCATTTTGACTGATTTTTCAATAGCCACAGAATATTTGTGCTATGACTATGTAAACACCGAACACACCAAAAGAAAGAGTAGACTCTCATCTTTCACCAGGAAAAGCGAACCGTTAGCTTTTTCTTATTTGCCTACAGTCTATACTCATCTCCCATCAAAAGTGGCACTCCTTCCTAGAGGGTCAATTTGTTACTACATATTCTGTCTAGAAGCCGATATTTACGGACAAGCTTTAGCAGATCGTCCCCCAGCCACTCTCGTTGAAAAACATAAAAGACGTCTATAGACGTCTTTGGCAGCCAATGAGTTAATAATTTATTACTATGCGATAAGTCAAGATTATTTTTTGTGTAGTTTTCTGCCCCCTGTTATCAGGTGTATCTGATTGTGTACAATAGGATTTTGAGCAAAGTTTTCACCATTAAATTACGCAAAAGGAGTCAGACGCAAAACATTTCAGAAACCGTATGCATCAAATATGACACATTTGGCGTTACGGGGTTAAACCGGCTCACATTTCCTGTTGGGCTTGAGGTTGCGGTTGATGGGCGGCGGCGTGACGTCGCTGAGGCGGGCGGGTCGGTGGCTCAGCGAGGCGCTGCTGCCTTTCCGGGCCGGTAAAGTGGCGGAGAACCCGGGGAAGTCGAAGTGGTGCGGGCCCGGGCTCATGGGCAGGTAGACGTTCTTAGGGCTGTCGGCCTGGGCCGCGCTCAGCGGGGAGGAGCCCGGGTTCATGGGCACGTAGTTGTCATCGGAGTTGCCGCTGTCTGAGCGGGTCAGCGGGGTCTGGGCCCTCTGGGATTGGAGGAGAAAAGGGTCACATGACTGTTTAAGCACAGCCACACACAGCTGGAGAAAACAGGGTAGCGAACCCCTCGGCTCTCACCTAACCCGCACCTCTAACTACAGCTCCTTCTGTAGTCCCTCTACCTCTATCTGTACCTCTATCTGTACCTCTATCGCTACCTCTATCTCTACCTCTATTTCTACCTCTATCTCTATCTCTACCTCTACCTCTATCTCTATCTCTATCTCTACCTCTAGCTCTACCCCTAGCTCTCCCTTTATCTCTACATCTAGCTCTACCTCTATCTCTATCTCTACCTCTACCTCTATCTCTACCTCTAGCTCTACCTCTATTTCTATCTCTATCTCTAAATCTACCTCTACCTCTACCTCTATCTCTATCTCTACGTCTATCTCTACCTCTACCTCTATCTCTATCTTTACCTCTACCTCTATCTCTATCTCACCACTGACTCTGATCAGTGTTTCTCCTCTGTGTAGCTTATTGTCATAGTGATGATAAATGTAATATTGTGTCTACACTGTAAGTCGCTTTGGACAAAAGCGTCTGCCAAATGCATAAACATCAACATAAACAGAAACATAAACCTCACCAGGTAGGAGCTGAAGCCGTCGTTCAGGGACTCGGACTGTCCTGAGTTGTTGAAGTGGAAGAGACGGTGATGGCTGTTGTTCTCAAAGGAAGAGCCTGTGGGGCAAAGCAGGGAAGGAAATCAATATTTACAAGGGTTAGGCTTCTCAAGTGAAACAGCACAATGCCGGACCCCTGCATTAGCATGCGTGCTAATCCCAACAGAAACTGTTTTTTACAGCTAAACCTGACATTCAAAAAGCAAAGCAGAGTCTCTACTGCCACAAACAGAAGTGGCATTTCATAAAATGCTTCAGCGGGCTATAATTAGTTTTTTGCTTGCACAGGTGTGTGAAAAGTCTATGGTCTCACTAACAAGAGTCACACGTCCATTCTCCCCGGCTATATGAAGCCTGAGCGTGGACTTGGCAAAGAAACAAACACAGCAAACTAAGACGCCGTGCACTGTGTCTGCAAATGCTTTTTTTTTTTTCTAATTGCTTATCAGCCTGGAACGAAGCATTCTGGACCGGGCGGGATGACTTGAATTTCATTAGCGTCTCAACAGGCCAGTGTCTGCTACAGTGGGGCCTTTGTTTCTGCTCAGCTGCAAGCGTTGAGTCGGTAAAGCGAGAGACGGACGCAGAGAGAGGGAGGGAGAGGAAGAGGAGGCTCCACAGTACACGAGGCGGTGGGCCGATCAAATCAAAGGTGCGTTTGAAAACAGGAAACAAGGGAAAACCACGATTTCGAAAGATCTGCATCAGTCAACAGATGTTCTTTAACTCGTTGGCTGCCAAAGACGTCTATAGACGTCTTTTATGTTTTTCAACGAGAGTGGCTGGGGGACGATCTGCTAAAGCTTGTCCGTAAATATCGGCTTCTAGACAGAGTATGTAGTAACAAATTGACCCTCTAGGTGGCAGTACCACTTTTGATGGGAGATGAGTATAGACTGTAGGCAAATAAGAAAAAGCTAACGGTTCGCTATGAGAGAACATGTCGCCGGTGAGACGCAAGTCGAGGAAGAACGGAATAAGGTAGAAACACATTTGTTTTCCTGATGAAAGAAGAGAGTCTACTCTTTCTTTTGGTGTGTTCGGTGTTTACATAGTCATAGCACAAACTATTCTGTGGCTCTTGAAAAATCAGTCAAAATGCTCATTTAAAAAACTCAGGCAGTATGGGACTCTGTTCTGAAAATGGCTGGCAGTCAATGAGTTAATTGTATAGATTTTTCTAGATGGGATGTTTTCAGACATCTACCTCTGTGGAGCCTGATGTTCTCCACAGCCGGGAGCGTGTTCCTCCGGGGGATCACGGACACGGCGGAGGTCAGGTCTCCGTTCTGGCTCCCGGCGGACTGGGGACTCCCCCACTGACCCTCGGACCCCTGGCTGGGCTTCGGGGGTCTGGGTGGGGGGGCGCAGGAGGACTCCGAACTGGAAGGCGTCAAGGCGTTGTGATTCTTATCAAACGTCCGCGGTATCTGGTAGAAGGATCCGGGCGTCGTGGGGAAGTCGTAGTTGTCGGGGGACCGCTCGTTGCTCTGGATCATGGCCAGCGCGTTGCAGGGGGTTTTGAAGGTGTAGACCTCCTCGTTCTCCAGGTCGGGGTCGCCCAGGTTGCTGTGGGCCGGGGCCTCGGAGCTGTAGCCCCGGGGGAGAACGTAGCAGGCCTCCTGGGGGGAGTCGTCGTGCGCGGACAGCGGGTGCTTCCCCGGCTTGGGGAGGCTGTAGAAGCCGTGCAGCGGGGCCCCCGAGCCGTTCAGGCAGGGAGAAAAGCCGCAGGACAGCTTCTGCACCGGGGAGTCGCCCCCCACAAACGTGCTGCTGCGAGAGGCCTGGGAGAAACTGGCACTCCTGAAAAAAACGAGCAAAATAAGAACAAAACAAGGTCAAAAACCGAGGCTCCATCAAGTTATTTCAGGCTACATGGAACCCTTTTTGTAGATATTTTGAATCATTGAATCTTCTTGACCCTGAGGATACTTGATTGTTTAACATGATTTCCACCTATCTATCTACTAATATATATATATATACTAATTAATTTATTTTTATCTGCTTTTCTATTTATACTTTTTGTTTATTTATACTTTTTATTTTATTTTATTTTTTTTCTTAATTCATTTGTTTATTAATTTATGTTTTGGCCTGTGGGTGGTCAGGGTGGATTGGGGGTTGACAGAACAGTGACATTGAGTTTGTAATGACACTTTGAATTTGTCCCAACAATGTCTGTCTTATGTTCAAAATGTTCAATAAACAAAGTTTGAAAAAAACAAAAAAAACAATGTCGAAAACCACCATGATTCTGACAGTTGAGTTTCACGTCAGTGCGTTTGCCGAAATGGCCACTAGGTGGTGCTGTAGCACTTTGGTCTGCAGCCCACATTTTGAAGACCAAACATTTCCCTCCAGAACCAGAACACCTTATACTCAGAGTACTTTTACCTTTCTTAACAAGCTACCCTTGACTCAATTTAACTAAGTATTTTTGCTTTTTTTATTTTATTTTTTAAGTATTTTTGCATTGATTTGATCAAATATCTTCATGTGACCTCAAATGGGATTATTGAACTTATTCAAATCCACAGTAATGTCAAATAAATGTGCATAATATGTCACAGAATATGATCAAATTGTTCATTCCCACCTTCTATCGTCTTATCCAATAAAATGCTACAAAAGGACTTCCATTTTTTTGTGAATTTAGACAAATACTTGAATATCACTTTGGTGGGAGCTGCAGCCCACATTTTGAAGACCACACATTTACCTCCAGAACCTGAACACCTTATAATTTTAGTACTTATAGCTACTCAGAATGCTGAGAAGGAGAGGACGCTCATGTTAGGGAGGCCAGTTCTGAGTTTCCCAGAGCTCCCGGCACCGTGGGGACATGCCTCATTTACTCCTGTTCTTTGGCAGGAATTGACCTTGAGAGCCAACAGGAGCGGTTCTTAAGCCTCGACATTTCCGGACAGTTAGTTAAGCAATGGCCCGATTTAACGGGCCCACGCAAATACAAGAAGCCATTCTTTCTCTCAGATTAATTTCTGCTGAGAAGATTTTCTGAACATTTGTTGGCTGCACAGCAAGTTTCTTTTTGCTTTTTTTCTGTCTTGGCTACACACACAACAGGTTTAATTCCTTGTTTTGTCTTAAATAGATTTCCACCATCAATGTCTTGCTCTTCTCTAATCACAAAAGTTGCATTAGGGCTTTTTATATACGGTAGATCCCTTTTATTTATCATTACTTATGGGTTTTTTTTCTAAGATTAATCATATCCTCCCACTAGTTTCTAGATGCTTGTGGTGAGCAGGGGAAAAAATAGATGCTAATTATAGAAAGGTTTGCATGAAGCTGAATAGATTGACTATAGGGTTTAATTTGTAGTGTTTCACGTAGGCTCAATACTGCAAATTGTTTGGTTGAGAGGACAGTTCTGCCACTGGTGAGTCTAAAGCTATCGGAGTGATGAATTGCTGCCTAGGCCTCATTGATCACCGACTGTGCAGGCTACCTGCTGAATGGCATAATTAATAAAAACCTTTTGATACCTAGCAAATGGAGCAATGTCGAGATGTGACATGAATCCTTATGGAAAAAACTCAGAACAGTCTCTCACTGTGTCATCATTTGGCTCCTTTGTTCTGGTGCCCTGCACATAGCTGAAATAGATATTTATCCATGTACAGGGCAGGGTACATGTTTCTGGACAAATACATGCTCAAATGACTCAATTTAACTGAGTATTTATGCATTGATTTGATCAAATATCTTCATGTGACCTCAAATGGGATTATTTAACTTATTCAAATCAACAGTAATGTAAAATAAATGTACATAATATGTCACAGAATATGATCAAATTGTTCATTCCCACTTTCTATCGTCCATTTTTTTTGTGAATTTAGACAAACATTTGAATATCTCTTTGGTGGGAGCTGCAGCCCACATTTTGAAGACCACACATTTCCCTCCAAAACCTGAACAACTTATAATTTTAGTACTTTTAACTTTCTTGACAAGCTACTTTTGACTCCTTTGACTTATTTATTTTGAAGTATTTTCGCATTGATTTAATCAAATATCTTCATGTGACCTCAAATGGATAATTGAAGTGATTCAAATCCACAGTAATGTAAAATAAATGTGCATAATATGTCACAGAATATGATCAAATTGTTCATTCCCACCTTTTTTTTGTCTTATCCAATAAAATACTACAAAATGACTTCCATTTTTTCGTTCATTTAGACAAACATTTGAATATCCTATTAAATCCGACGGTTTCAGGATGATTATTGGCTGTGCGTTCACATGCACAATGGGATGATTCCTCCCCCTCAACAGCAGCTTTAACCCCCCCTGGGTTCCTGCAGGCTTAGGAAGCCCGCGTAAACCTGTACGTTGACCCGCGTTAACGGAAAACAGGAAGCCCACACAGGACGTCTGAGGGGTGGCGGCGTTTACCGTGCGCTCTCCGTCTTCCTGCTCATGCACTGGTGCAGGAGGAGGTAGTCCTGCGGCGCGCTGTTGGACAGAGAGCTGCGGTGCGAGTGGCGCACGGGCACGTCGAAGGTGAAGAGCACGGGCTGGCTGGAGTGGATGGGGGCGGAAGACTTGCGCTCCCCGCCCAGAGGAACCATGGACCCGGGGACGTCTGCCCCCACAGACCGGGGCATGTGCAGCACCCGGGAGTCTGGGGACGGGAGAAACGGCAGGGATTGATTATTTAAAGCTGTCCTGGCCTCGCTATGCACTGTGACTTTCAGCAGTAACTCAGCTATACAGGTAGCTAAACACTTTCCCATCCGTCCACCAAGAAGCACTGCATTTGGTTCTTTAGCAGGGTTTAATGAGAATCGTGTAAAACTGTAACACACAAAGGTACAGAAAAATGAATGCCGGCTAGGCTAACACATTGGGCTAACACAAGTAATAATGTCTATCTTCACATAAAACATGTCAACGGGTTATGAATTATGATTGATATCACAGGCAAATGTGAACAGCACTTACAGACGATGCCGTTTTGCACTTTGATTAAAAAAAACAACAAAAAGGAGCTTCTTTCGTTTCTGGTAAGCGAGTTGTAATAATAAAAGTGACCACAAGATGGCGTTTCGTGAAATAGCAACACACACAATTCTAACATTTGCCACTAGGTGGCCGCAGTAGATGACCTTAACATTGAATAACTTTAAATTAAACAGGTTTCATTACAATAGCACAAAAGCTCATTTCTCTTTCCAAATAACCTTGGGCCGTCTTTCTGTAGATCTGGCTTATAGTTCAATTCAATTCAATTCAATTCAATTTTATTTATATAGCGCCACATCACAACAACAGTTGTCTCACAGCTTTCCAAACAGAGCAGGTCAGACCCTACTCTGAAGTTAATTACAAGAACCCAACAATTCCCACCATGAGCAAGCACTAGGCGACACAGGCAAGGAAAAACTTCCTTCCTTATAGTGCGGCTTTATGTGGGAAGCCATTTTTTGCTGCCACAACTATTGAAATAAAAGGCTAGTATTCAATTAATTAACTCATTGGCTGCCAAAGACGTCTATAGAAGCCCAACAGGAAATGTGAGCCTGTTTAACCCTGTAATGCCAAACGTATCATATCTGATTAATACGGTTTCTGAAATGTTTTTGTCTTTACACCTTTTGCTTAATTTAATGGTAAAAACTTTGCTCAAAATCCTAATTTACATAATCAGATACATCTGCCCCCACAGACCGGGGCATGTGCAGCACCCGGAGGTCTGGGGACGGGAGAAATAGCAGGAATTGATTATTTAAAGCACAAAAGCTCCTTTCTCTTTCCAAATAACCTTTTGCTGTCTTTCTGTAGATCTGGCTTATAGTGAAGCTTTATGTTGGAAGCCATTTTTTGCAGCCACGACTATTGAAATAAAAGGCTATTATTCAATTAACTAACTCATTGGCTGATCGGTAAAGCGAGAGATGGACGCAGAGACAGGGAGGGAGAGGAAGAGGAGGCCCCACAGTACATGAGGCGGTGTGCCGATCAAATCAAAGGTGCGTTTGAAAACAGGAAACAAGGGAAAACCACGATTTCGAAAGATCTGCATCATTCAACAGACGTTCTTTAACTCATTGGCTGCCAAAGACGTCTATAGACGTCTTTTATGTTTTTCAACGCGAGTGGCTGGGGGACGATCTGCTAAAGCTTGTCCGTAAATATCGGCTTCTAGACAGAGTATGTAGTAACAAATTGACCCTCTAGGGGGCAGTGCCACTTTTGATGGGAGATGAGCATAGACTGTAGGCAAATAAGAAAAAGCTAACGGTTCTATGAGAGAACATGTCGCCGGTGAGACGCAAGTCCAGGAAGAACGGAATAAGGTAGAAACAAATGTTTTTTCCTGATGAAAGAAGAGAGTCTACTCTTTCTTTTGGTGTGTTCGGTGTTTACATAGTCATAGCACAAACTATTCTGTGGCTCTTGAAAAATCAGTCAAAATGCTCAAAAACCTCTGGCAGTATGGGACTCTGTTCTGAAAATGGCTGCCAGTCAATGAGTTAAGAGTTTTGGGTTGTGCTTTCAGTCTTTCTTGACTCAGATCAATAGAGAAGAGCAGTCTGTCTCACGGGAGAAGAGAAAACATCATCCCTTTGCTTTTTTGGATTACAGAGAGCAAATGAGTGGAACAGAGCATGGCCCAACTTTTCCTTTTACACCGAGGTCAATGTGCTGGGCTCGGTTTTATTGAGCTGCCCATTGTTTGGCACAGTGGGACAGTGTGAACAACATGGCCCTAACGGTCGAATTGTTTCTGTGTGACATCCCTGATTTTTCCATTGACTGCAAAGAAAAGACAAATCCAAGATGGGGATGTTGGAAACGGACCGGGCGGGCAGCCAAAACCAGGAGGTGCACATTGAGTTGTAGGAGTAGAGAGTGGGCGGCCACTGATCTATCGACCCGTGGTGCTGTGTGCAACAGTAGAGGGGGGGGGGCTCTGCTGAAGCTAATTTTCCTCTTTTAACTGTCCAGCAGCAGATGCATGTGAACATTAGTGTACCGACAACAAGCTTTTCTGCGTCTAAATGTCTTTGAAATATGATTAAAAAAGGTGACAACTGTTTGCCTTAGTTGTTAATCTACATTATGTTAAGTTATTGAAAAATGATGTGCATCAGACAGCTTGAAATTAAAAGACATTTTTTATTATTATTTTTTTTATTTTAATTTTATTTTTAATTTTATTTATTTATTTATTTATTTATTTATTATTTTTTATTTATTTTTATTTTTATTTTATTTCTTTATTTATTTTTTAAATCTTTTTTTAAATCTTTTTTTTAAAGAAATTTATTTTTTAAGATGGAGTCGTAACCTTTCCTGTGGAGAAATAAAGACTTACTAAACAACTTTTTTTTGGGGGGTGTGGGCAGTCTAAAAACTGAAAACCCATTTTTCTTTATTTCCCTGATTCCCAACATGATGTCACTCTGTCCTTTAAGAAAAAAAGGAGGTCTGTGAGTCGAGATTTGAGCTGGAAAGCAGCAACAATAGCTCTGTGTGAGCATGTGCGTATGCATGTGGGCCATTTAAAGTGGTGTCCGGTTCTCTGAATGAGGTTACATCCATGCCTGAGGGGGGGAAAAGGCTCTGCCATGACGTCTCCAGGCCAGTGGACACCAGTGGGATGACCAGGCCCACTGCAACAAAGGTTGGGACTCCCCCCAACGATCCTCAATTACGCCATTGTTCTGAGTGATTCCATTTTCCTTGAACTACTTAGGCATCGTCTCCCTTCTCCGCAAAAAGCTTTGTAAAAGCTTTCATCCACCGCGGTGAGCGCTGGGCCCCCTAATACGGGTAGATATATTGATTTGTTGTCAAAAGACAGACCCAGCCCCCGGCCCCCGCCGGCCTGGAGAGCTGCTGTTCAAACCCAAAGTGACCCTATAACCGGGCAACAAAAGAGCAGCTCGACCAAAGCGAAAAGCCTTCGCTTGTGTGTGGAGATAATTCGGGTCTTGATGAGCTGTGTAAATGACCGGCAGATTCGGAGCAACATGAAAGATGGCCGACCCGGTCAGCTTACAGAATAATGCACACAGCTCATCACTAATGGGCCTCTGCTGGGAAACCATCCCATGGATGCAGAAACAGAGGAAAGAGCTAATACATAAACACACAGACAACACAAATCATCAACAGAGAGTCTGGCTAAATCTGGCTGCAAGTTAAAGAGCAAACAACGTAAAAAACAACAACTTTCTATTGCAAAACGCTTGGAAATAACACAAAACTGTTGACAACAATGCATTAAAAGACTCCTCCGGTTGGCGAAGAGCACTTAGCTATTCTGGGTCAAAGAGCTCCAAAGTTCAGAGGCAATTAAATTGGATAATACATCACCTACTGTCTCATTGGCTCAGTGACCGTAATTTGATAAAAGCCCGCTGCTGGTCTCGGGGGGCCAAAATTAGAAACACGCCGCATCACTCATGACAAAAACTTCTTTGTAAGGTACTCATTTCCTCCCAGTCCAGCCAGAACTAGATGAGAACATACGATAATTTGATCTTGAATCCTAAGTATAATAAGTAAATAGAAAATACCACTGACCAATTGAGGAGAAGAGGGGCCATTTGAATTTGTTTTCTATTCAGGGCGCTCTTTTAATAAACACTGAAATTGAATCCTTAAAATGTCCCATTTAAAAGAAAAAAATCAATAATTGAATGTACAATTCAATGGTGCTCACCTGTCTTGGAGTTAAACAAAAATGCAGACTCTTTTATGGGTTTAATCAGAGATTAGAGTGAAACACAAAGTCTGGGTTCAAAACCCTGATTAGTGGCCTGGTGGTGGGGAAAGCCATCATGTGATGCAAGGACCATTATGTCAAACTATCCTTAACCACCATAACCTGTAAATCTGAATCATGAAAATAAAGAAAGCCTGGATGAAATGAACATAAATCCTTATTTCTAAATGGATCTACAGGATCTACATGTCCCTGAATACCACATAATGTGGCCCGTTTGGGAACTCTGAACTAGACTGGTAACTAGTTAAAGCGCTAGTAGCTGCTGAGTTCAGGAGTTAAGTGGGAATGTTTGACAGAAAATAAGCAAAAAGGGAGTCCTGGTATCTTCAGAACACAAAACCACCGATGTTAGGCCCATTGCATACTTATGCCTATCAATATGCCCCTCACTTTTCATCAGCCTGAGCTTAATTCTGCACAACACGATGCAAAATTTAGCACCACAAGGCAACGCCACAAAGCAAAAACAAGTCCAATGTGGCTCCTGCGTTAAATAACGAGAGAATGAAAAGACACGTGCATTTCACAACACGCTGAGATGCCAAATGTAGGTGAGAGCATAACAGATAAAAGATGAAAAATACAGATTGCAATCGTCAAGATCAAGGAAAAAGAAACCGAAAGAGTGATTCTTAAATGGCATCTAGTTACAGCTACTTACTCACAGTTTTACTGACTATACTTTAGTTCTGTTTCCAGAATTTAAACAAATCCAATGAATCCTTTTATGCTAGCGCTGGTCACCAAACAAAGAATCTTTAAAGCTTTGCTCTTCCATGTAAGAGTCTCTGTAAATTAAGAATTTTATGTAGACAACAAATTGATAATTTCATACAGTCTTGTTTCCCATTACCATTGTTCTACACATATTAAATGCAGAATTCTTTAACAAATGAATTGTTAAATTACTGTTTCAGGTTGTTTTTAGCTACCTTAAAGCCTGTATTAAACATTGGGAGAAAAAAAAAGCTTCTTTTCAGAGGAATGGAAAGAAAA